CTATGGGACTGGCATGACTATCACTATCCTGTTTCCAGGTAGGAATGTAAGCAATTGTCCCTCAGACGTGGCTGGACAGGGACAACCTAAGAATTCAGGAGTCAGTGATCTAACCAGGGGAGGGCAAACTTTTTGACTCGAGGGCCACAATGGGTCTTAAACTGGACGGAGGGCCCGGAACAAAAGCATGGATGGAGTGTTTGTGTGAACTAATATAAATTCAAAGTAAACATCATTACATAAAAGGGTACGGTCTTTTTTTTTTTTTTTTTTAGTTTTATTCATTTCAAAGGGGCCGGATCCTGCCCACGGCTGTTCTAAACCCAGTGTCCTCACCAGTACACAGGCTGCCCCCTCCCTCATCCAGGCCCCCAGGGCAAGCTGCTGTCTAGCATCACCCCAGGGTCCCTGAGAGATGTTCCCCTCGCCTTCCCCTCTGCTCCTGGAGCACTTCTCATGGCCTGCTGGGGGATCGACTTAGGGATGCACTTCCTCCCCCACGGTGGGCTCCTGATGCCCAGGAGCCCTTTGAAAAGCTGACTGGATTTAATAGTGAGCACAATTTCTAAATGGCTGAAAATCAAAACAGAAAAATTAAAATAAAAAATGTGTACGAACGGAAATAATGCAAACCTGTAGGTGTAGCACTAACCCACCAGAGGCCTGGATGCTCTAGTCAATTATTTCTGCAATGATAAGTTACACGGAAACGTGTGCTAGCAGAAATCACTATCCCAGGATTAAGTTAACAGTATGTATGTGAAATCACTATCCCAGGATTAAGTTAACAGTATATATGTGAAATCACTATCCCAGGATTAACAGTATGTATGTGAAATCACTATCCCAGGATGAAGTTAACATGGTTCGTTCGCTTTCACTTTCACCTCCGTGATGGAACAGCAAAGGCAGTAGACGTAGCTAAGTGATCTTGGGAAGGCCATTTTTCCTCCTCTGGGCTTCAAATTCATGATGTGACACGGGCAGCAGGGCGTGGGGTAGTAAGTCAAGTGGCCTACATGAGATGTCCCGTTTCTTTAAGTGCTAAACACTAGGAAATCTCAGCGTACAGGGCCTGAGCAAAAGCCCTACTTCATTAGTTTTCACACGAGACAAAACCCACGCTTCAAGTGTATAAAATATGACTATGTCAATAAGACAATGACTCTTTCAAAATACTGTTTTTGGTATAATTTTAGGAAGGGGAAGAATGGCAGAACATTCTAGTATGCCAGACACTTACAAGTTGTTTTTTAAAAATGACTAAAAACAAAACAAAACAGCCCCACCCGCCCCTCTGTCTCCCCCACCACCGGCCCCCCAGTCCCCTAGGGATCCCCTCATGAGCCAGCTGTTCTATGGGGTGAAGGCAGGGCCAGGCCTGGGGGCACACCTTCACCGCCAACCCCAGGCGGTCTGCGCCCCACGCAGCATTGCCGCTCCTGCCCCCGCTGATGCTGCGGCCACCGGGGCTGGGAAGAAGCGGTACCCGACTGCAGAGGAGATCTCGGTTCTGGGGGGCTACTTCCGCCTCAGCCGCAGCTGCCTTGTCAAGGGGTCCCCTGAAAGGCACCACAAACAGCTCAAGATCTCCTTCAGCGAGACAGCTCTAGAGACTATGTACCAGTACCCCTCCGAGAGCTCGGTGCTGCGGGAGCTGGGCCCGGAGCCCGAGGACACACCCCCCCCCCCCACCTCGCCCCTGTGGCCCAGCCCAACGACGAGGAAGAGGAGGAGGAGGAGCTGCAGGCAGAGCCCCTGAGCGGCCTGCGCTCCAAGGTGCTGCTAGTGGATGAGTCCTGCCGGAGGTGACCCTCTTCCAACACAGGGACCAATCTATCTCCTTCCCGAAATGAAGATCCTGGGTCCCGGAAGATTCAGAACAGACGACCCTGAAA